TCGAATTATTCATCGATTCAACTGTGATGAAGAACAGTTGGCGGTAGTACATACTAGTAGTATGTATAATCTGTTGGGTCAAATAACGTTTAATGTGAAAAACCTGTTTTGCAATTTAACTCAACTCATGGTGCATTTGAAGTTGCCCTGATCGTCCCTTTTTTCGAATCACTCGAATCCACAAGGCAGCGCGGCCTCGTCCGTCATTCTTGCGCTTAGCACAATCGTCAGGTTACGTCATGGACGAGTATGTTGTTGAGGATATTATATCGAAGGAGGCCGCTGTGATCGTGTGTCGAGTGCTGCACAAATCCACCTCCCGACGGTTTGCAATGAAGATCTTTGACACAGCCGTGATGGGCCTCCACCGCCATGCGTCATTGCGGGTGGAGTTGAACACGTTGCTTCCAAACAAGCACCCGAATGTTGTGAACGTTCACGACGTAAACGTTGAAGATGGCTTGTGCTACGTTGTGTGCGACCTGGAAGAAGGCAACGACCTGTTTGACGTTCTTGTCAAGAAGGTATGTTGCATTCTATTGCGTGTCGATGAACCATCTCCCCCAGGGACGGTTTTCGGAAACGGAAGCGAAGGCGTTGATGAAAGTGCTTCTGGAAACCGTTGGTGCATGCCATGCATTGGGAATGGTACATCGCAACCTCAAAGTAAGGAGTAGAATACCTTCCATGAACGATAAACTGATTTTCCTTGCAGCCAGAGAGCGTGCGAATGCCTTCAGAAGATCCGGCATCGTTGATGCTGTCCAACTTTAGTTTGTGCTCCTCCATCGATGCCGAGATGACCACAGTTTGCGGTTCACCAGAGTACGTGTCAGTTGACGATCAAAGAATCGGGATTAATATGGACCAGCTACATGGCTCCAGAAGTTTTGGCTAACTTGCATGGAAAGCACCTCTACGGAAAAGAAGTTGACGTTTGGTCGCTCGGGGTGATGGCGTACGTCCTTCTCAGCGGAACGTTTCCATTTGCAGGAAGCACTCAAGTCGACTTGTTCAAGGCTATACAGACTGGAAAGGTTGATGTCTCATCGGGGACATGGACAAGCATATCACTCGATGCAAAGAACTTCGTGTCGGAGATGCTGATTGTAGATCCGACCCAAAGGTGAGCTCCGTATGAATACCTACATTCACCGGAACACCAGAGCTACAATCGACCTCCTCTTGCTACATCCATGGATAAATCCGCTCCAGGTGTCGTTTTCGTTGGCTATAAAGGTCACAAACGATCGTGGTAGGACCTTGCGAGCGCTTCGACAGAGTCCAAAGGAGTGCATGCACTTCGCAAGTTCAAAGCAGCCGCAATGACGGTATGTCGCGGCACTATTCATTACGTTCACCTCACATGACTGCAGGTTCAAGCAGCAGTGGCGTTAAAGACGCACTTTTGCGCTCCAAGGACCTCGCCGCCATCCATATCTGTGAGCGAGAAAAAAACGGTAGAAGTCACGCGAAAGGAGCAGCTGACGATCGACACGTTCCTGCTCGACTATGACATCCACAAAGAAGTCTTGTCGGAAGGGAAATTTTCCATCACCAGGAGAGGCACATTCAAACCGTCTGGAAAGGACGTCGAGATGACGTTTTACTCGAAGGCATTGATGGAATTCGACGACGAGATCGAGCTGAACACGATGATTGACGTGCTGAGGCACATGGGACACCACGACCACATTGTCCACGTGCATGATTTCTACACAGACAGTGACGAATATTGTCTTGTCATGGATGCGGTAGACGGGACCAAGGACCTCTTCGACCACGTCGTCGACAAAGTACGTACATGCATGGAGACCAACCGGCTAATTAGGGAACAGGGCTGTTCAGACGAGCGCGAGGCACGACACATGATGACGTGCCTGTTGAAGGCGGTGGCGCATTGCCACAGACTGGGAATCGTCCACCGCAACATCAAGGTACTGAACGATATTCTATTTCGTGTTTTTGTTTCAACTCGTCGTAGCTGGAGAGCATCATGATTGCAGACACGTTGAATGCTGTCAAACTGTCGAACTTTGGAATGGCGGCGCGAATCGACACCGATTTAACCGTTGTGTGTGGCTCCCACGAGTAAGATCACGTGACGTTTGGATGGGACAGATGTAATCCTCTCTAGTTACATCGCACCGGAAATCCTCGAGAACATCGACGGTCCTTGCCCTTATGGCATCCAAGTGGACATTTGGAGTTTGGGCGTGCTGTTGTTTGTACTTCTCGGCGGATATCTGCCATTCCATGGCAACAGCCAGGATGATTTGTATCGAGCGATCAAGATTGGCCGCTTTGAATTCGACGAGCCATATTGGGAAGGAATTTCGAGTGCGGCTCAGGATATCATTTCAAAAATGCTCGTCACCGATCCCCAGAAACGGTACTTCCAGTCATTCATGATCAACATTGGCTTGACAGCAACACACGTCAGGAGCAGCGCATTTGATTTACTCCTGCATCCCTGGATACTTGACGTAAGTGCCGACTTGAAGCCTTTATTCTGACTATTCCAATCAGGTGACCTCTCCACCCGTGGGTGATGCTGTCTCCAGGTCAAGCGCCATTCGAAAATTCAAGACTGCTGCACTGTCTGTCAAAGCTGCCGTATCGTTCAAAATGTCGACAACGTTTGCATCCAAGTACACAGCATTGAACACAACAACCTGTGTTTGCAACGAATCTGGTGAACTTTATCGCATGGCGCGACACGCCAAGGCAAAGTTGAGCCGAGAACGAGTCCGATGCTTCCTAGCCCACGCAGCAAAAGTAAAGACACTGAAACACCCGCACGTTGTTCGCATCCACGACATCTTCAACGACAGCGACGCGGTGTACGTCGTGGAGGATCGCGTTACTGGCGGTGAATTGTTTGACCGTATCGTACAGAAGGTACGTGAGGTTGCCTGCAGCTCCTTGGCAACGTCGCGATGTACAGGATGGATACAACGAAGTCGAGGCCGTACAGTTGATCACGGATTTGCTGCATGTCGTGGATTACTGCCACCGTATGGGAGTTCCGCACTCGAATCTCAAGGTACGACCGCTTCATGACGTCCTTGACTTCTTACAATACCGGCCAACAAGGCTGAAAACATTTGGCTCGAAAGCCCACAAGACGACTCGCCGATCAAGCTGGCGAATTTCGGTCAAACCTACCAAGAATTGACCGCCTCCATCGAGTACGTCCATGCGATGTCGAGTCGTTCTAAACGCCGTCCTGTAGCTACGCGGCTCCCGAGGTCATCTCGCTACTCTGTGGTGTGAACGATGGCGAGAAAAGATTTTACAACAAACCTGCCGACGTATGGAGCATCGGTGTGATCGCCTACGTGCTTTTGTGTGGCTATTTGCCCTTTCAAGGCCACAATCGCTTCGCGTTGTTCAAGAACATCAAGCGAGGCAAGTTTGAATTCGAATCGCCGTATTGGGACTACATTTCGAAACCTGCCAAAGCCTTTATTTCCCAAGCACTAGCTGTAAATGCAAACACCAGGTGCAGTGAGTGGATTGACTCACCCACAAGGCATTTCACACAGTGCTAGACCAACGGTCACCGACCTCCTCCAACACGCCTGGATCACGGATATACACGAGGTAATCCACTGTCCTCTTGGGCTTCCGAACTAAAACCATGTCATGTACAGGGTCCTTGTGTTTCCCTGACCAGCACCGTGGACAACTTGACCGCATTCAACGCGCGAAAGAAGCTCAAGGCAGTCATGGCCTTGGTAGACTGTATACGGCACCTGACATTGACTCACTCAAATTTGCATCTAGGTCAAAGCATCGTTGACGCTGCAAAAGTCGGAAGAACGGGTCGTGAGCGACATTGTTGCAGCCTGACAAAAGTACGGCAAGTCTTGACCGAATACGATCCCCAGTCTCTCGATAATTACAACCATTCATCTTCGTTGCTGATGTCAGCGCTCACGGCTGTGAACTCGGACGACCACCCATCCCTCGGATCGATGGCATCTCGCGTAAAATGATACGATTCAAACACACTGGACGAGATGGACGCCGCTGGCGACGACAGATCCGAATCGACTTCCCACTCGTCGTCCACAACGCTTGTTGTCTTGGCATCGGTCGATTCCTCGTGGCGCGCGGGCAAACTTTGTGGTGTGCTCGGTCGCTTGTGCAGAGCCACTGCCAGTTGAACCTTGCATGACTCGTTGAGCGCCCCAAGCAGTCGTAGTTCGTACCGTGTTGATAGCCCGCTTCAGTGTGTTTCGAGCATGGAACGTCCTCAGGTTTGCTAATGCATGCGATAGCGTGAGGGACGTCGGGTCGTCCTGCTAAAGCAATTTGCATGAGTCATCGTCGAAAAAAAAAGTTTTGTACATCGTTTTCGTCTCGCAGCCACTCGTGCTTGAGTAGTTGGTCCGCCGTCGCTCTGCATTGGTCGTGAGGAACGTGCAACGACTACACGTTCGTACCGCTTGGACGGATCCACTTGGAGCATGAGCGATATCAAGTGCTTGGCTTCGTTCGACACGTGCTTCCAGTAGTACGGATCATATTGGTACGACCCGGCTTTGATTTTGTCGTACAGGACCGCCACGTTCTCGTCATAAAACGGTGGGCACCCCGAGAGCAACATGAACGTAATGACGCCGATGCTCCAGATATCGCATTCTTTGCCGTACGGTGTCCCAATCTTGAGTATCTCCGGTGCCAAGTACCTACAGCGTCCGCTGGATTCAGTCGTTGATGGGGCGAGGGTTTGTCATTACAAGGGACTGCCACAGCGCGTGACCATGCTGCTCGTGTTGTGATGCAATGTAGCGAGCCCAAAGTCGCCCAGTTTTACGGACGCGTCGTCGTAGATGCTGGTGAGGAGGATATTTTCAGGCTACAAGGTCGTTTGGTGGCCCGTTTGCGACACTTGTCGTGCATACCTTCAAGTCGCGGTGGGCAATGCCTTTGTCGTGGCAGAACTTGATGGTCTCGAGAAGCGTTCGCACGACGTTCTTTGCGTCTTGCTGCGTGTAGTACGTCTACGACGCAGACACGTTGCATGAACCAGATTCATCACGATCATACCTTTTCGATAAGACGCTGAAACAATTCGCCACCTTCCATGTACTCCGTCACAATGTAATAAAAGTGCTCCTCCTCGAAGAAGTCGAAGAGCTGAATAATGTTGGGGTGTTTGAGCTGCGCAAGACGTACGTGAGTCCTCGTCGAGACGCCAATGGTACCTGTGCCAGGACGTTGACTTCTGCAGCCATCCGAGCCAGGTCCTCGCTGTCAAGTTTATCTCGCTGGATGCATTTGACAGCGTACTCGACGCCAGTAGCTTTGAGTACAGCCTTGTGAACTATGGAGTACCCACCCTTCCCAATTACGTCGCCCAACGTGTACTTGAGGTGAAAGTCCTTCGACGCGCCAACAATCGACACCTCGTTGGTCGATGGGTTCACATCAATGGAGAGTTTCACCGCAGTGTCTGCGTTTTCTGCATGGACTTGACCGTCCTCAGCGACGACAATATCATCAGTCTCGATCTCGTCGGATGCGGTGACGAGGCGACTCCCGCAGCATCCCATCGCCAGCTGCCCGATGGCTCGTTGCGATGTTTTGTTGGGGGGTTGTATCTAATATCTGATTGGTGAGAACAATTCAGATGATCCAATCATGGCACAGCTGATGTGCTAAATTAGCCAATAAGATGTGACCAGTCAATTAACTCGTTGGAGATTCAGGAAAGGCCATCGGGAGAGACTCCAAACTTGAGTCTATTCTATACAAATTTCAACTTAAAATTTGGCCTGCAGGTCGCAACGTTCTAGATTGACACAACCTTTAGTATGCATTATATAGCGCAGATCGTTCTTTCCACGGTCGTACGTCGTCGCCCCTTCTGCCCTACGGTAGGATGTCCATTGCGAATTTCGACCCGCCTGCACTACAACCGAGGACGCCATGGGCTGCGGTCGATCGAAGGGGTTGTGTCCAAGCTTTGGGCGTCACGGAGAAGGCGAAGAGGAAGCGAGTGCATCGCAGCAGCCTCCTGCAGGGCAAGAAGGCGAAGGTCTCTCGACTCCACCAGAGTCTCCACAGGCCGAGTTGCAGTCCCCAGAAGTCCAAGAACAAATGTCCGTATTGTCAACGCAACGCTTCGATGAAGTATACTCGCTGGAGAAAGACTCAATCCTTGGCGAAGGAGCATCGGCCAAGGTGTACGTCGCGACCCACCGCCGCACACGGCAACGAGTGGCCGTAAAAGTCTTTGTCAAGGCGCGGATGCGAGACTCTGAAGTCAAAGATATGTTTGAAGAAGTTCAGCTTTTGCAAGACTTAAAGCACGATCACATTCTCCAACTCCACGGTTTTTTCCACGAGCCTGCTCACTACTATATTGTCACGGACCTCTTGGAAGGCGGCGAGCTCTTTGACCGCATCATCGAAAAGGAATTCTACAGCGAAAAGGAAGCGCGCGACCTCATCAAGGTCCTCCTCACCGCCATCCAGTATATGCACAGTCTCAACATCGTGCATCGCGACCTCAAGGTAAATTATTCGTTCTGTGCCCCTTTCTCCTTTCTCATTGCAGATGTAGCCCGAGAACATTCTCCTCAAGAGCGTCTCGGACGACACGTCCATCAAAATTGCTGATTTTGGGTTTGCCAAGAAAGATGTGAATGGGGAGATGACTGAAAAGTGCGGGTCTCCGTCGTACGTTGCGCCTGAAATCCTGGCCCAGCCGAAATACGGTCGCGCCGTCGACATTTGGAGCGCAGGTGTCATCGCGTACATCTTGCTCTGCGGGTACCCTCCGTTCCAAGGGGCTACAGACGCCGAGCTGTTTGCCAACATTCAGCACGGCACCTTCGAGTTCGATTCGCCGCACTGGGACGACGTCAGTGAGTTGGCCAAGGCGTTCGTGTCGAGCATGCTCGTGATAAGCCCTGCCAAGCGCGCAACAGCCGACGAACTGCTGCAGCACCCTTGGATCACAGGCACTGTGTCGACCGTACCATTGAAGACGGTCGTGCAGGAACTCAAGCGATTCAACGCCCGTCGAAAGTTCAAGGCTGCCGTCAAAACAGTCCAGGCAACAGCGTCGCTCATGGGGCGAGCACGAAGTCGTGGATCGTCTCTAGCAGTGGACAACCGAGTGTAGCCCGATTTCAATCGATACTGTGGCACTTGTAAAAATATGGAATTCCTTGGTCACAATTTGGTCAAGACCCACGGCGACGCCGGTGAATGAGAAGACTGCGCACGCATGCTCTTCTACTACCTGAAGCCTTGTTCCATTAGATCCTGCTCCTCGATGCTGCACCGGCATGTCACTGCATTCTGCCTAAATTGAATACTTTCCGGGGCATTCCGTCGACTCGGATACGTGGCCACGGCGCTCGTGCCAGTGTTGGGTCAAGGCTTAGCTCTCAACATTCACATCAAGCGGTCAAAGGTGGCTCTCGGTGTGCATGGAACTTTATGGCCACGAACGAGGCATTTTGAACCGAGAAACGCCACCATCCTGCTCTATCACTACTGTGGCAAAATTCGTGATCTCTGATCTCGTATCTCGTCGCCCTTGCTTCCATCGCAATATCATCAAGCTTAGCCAAAAGGACACTTTGTACGTACAGCTTCGGCCGACCGCTTCAACGTACCAAGACACGAAGGACCACTGCAAGGCTCAGGGGGTGCAAGCTGCTTTGACGACCTTCTCGACACCACAGAAGCGTTTTGTTCGTCAACACTGGTGCCAGTCGCCTTCCAACAACCCAAACCCAACGGCCGTGTGTAGACCAAGCCGCGCGATGTAGCTTCCCGACACACCTGCGCCCCCAACTCTGAAATGGCCTATTGCCCCGACCGCCGATCACTCCATCAATAGACGAGAAGCCGAGCCGAATCTCGATTGTCTCGTGCTGATCGTGGCTACAACGATCGCTGGCGGTGGGGAACGTGCCGCGCGCGTGGTGCGATAGTGATAACCGGATTTTGTTCGGATAAAGTCAGCACGCGTCGTTGTTTGCAATTCGCACCTTCCTGTCGTCGGCTTGGCAGCGCGATCGGCATGGGATGCAGCTTCTCTCTATGCCCAGGCCCCCAAGCGGCAAAGGATGATGAGTCCATTTTACATGACATGAGCGCCAAGCAGTCCACCCCCTACGTACCTGTCGTGGCGCCTGTCCACGTAACAGCGACGGCGGCACTCCCATGCTTTCGCGACAAGTATGTTCTTGGTGGGACGTTGGGAGAGGGAAGTTACGCTATCGTGAAGAAGGCCCGCAACAAAGAGACGGGTGAGTCGTATGCTGTCAAGGTCTTCAAGAAGGAAGGACTGTCGGAACAGGACGAACGGGATATTCAGACCGAAGTCGCCATCTTGGGCCGCCTCAACCACCCTAACGTGTTGAATTTGGTCGACTTCTTCTCGGAACCCAAGTACTATTACATTGTAACAGACTTGTGCGAAGGTGGCGAACTATTTGATCGAATATCTCAATTGGTGCGGTGATTCGTTTCACGACACTCTTCGTCCTCACGTCGTCGCCTTGTCGCAGTCCTACTACACTGAAAAGGAGGCGCGGGACCTCGTCAAGGTTTTGCTCACTGCCATTGACTACTGTCACGATCATGGCGTCGTTCATCGCGATTTAAAGGTCTGTGTTCTGCTGCATCGCTCCTTCCATGACTACATTGTTTGGTAGCCCGAGAACATCTTGATGATTAACAAGACAGACAACGCTTCCATCAAGATCGCGGACTTTGGGTTTGCCAAAGAAGCGCTGAATGGTCTGACGACCACTTGCGGGTCTCCCGAGTATGCCTTTGCTTGGATTTACCATCCAATTGACAACAGCATGCACGCTCTAGATATGTTGCGCCAGAAATCATTTCTCGGTCGGATGCCAGTCAGACGTACGGCACCCCCGTCGATATTTGGAGCATTGGCGTTATCACGTATGTTCTCTTGGGCGGGTACACCCCGTTCCACGACGAGAACCAGAACGTGTTATTCGACAACATTTGCCATGGCCAGTTCTACTTTTACTCGCCTGACTGGGACGAAATCTCAGACGACGCCAAGGAGTTTCTTAAATTGGCGTTGACGGTCGACCCAGCCAAGCGGCCCACCGCCAAGCAACTCCTTAAAGATCCTTGGATTGTCGACGAAAATGTGCGTGCTTTGTCGCGTCGTCGGAGGAGGAAGTCTCACGTTGCATGGCGCAGGTGTCCATCTACCAACTGTCGAGCGTCCAAGAGAAGCTGCCCATGCTCAACACGTCCAGGAACAAGTTTAAAGCAGCCGTCAACGCCACAGTGCTCGTCAACCGCTTTCGTAAGGTGTCGACGGACGAACCGAAACACGCATCGGTGTGAGGGACAAGTGGGTGGTGGGATGCCGTTCCATCTACTCCTTTGTAACATTCGATTTAAAGATCCGTTGGAACACGTGAGGCAAGTCGGTCGTGTTGAGGCAGACGTGGCCGTTTCCTTGGGGCAAATGCTTGAGGATCCGAGTCGCTTCGTCTGCCAGCGACGCAATGAAGATAGCATGCGCCGACACGGACGAATCCTTCATCAACGCTCGCGACATTTCTTGCGGCGTGATGCCATATCGATTCAAATTCGCATCGGACAACACAAACACGAACGACTCGTCGTCGCCGGCAGCGGCCTTGGCATGCTTGATGCTGTCGGCAATCGCTTCGACAGTATGGTCGCCACTGCTGCAGTACTGCGAGTGCGCGACCATTTTTTCCAAAATCTACGTGCAAAGGTATAGTTGTCAGGGTAGTAGCATCCCACCAACAGTGGCTATGTTTGCCTTGAGGCGATCTTTCTTGGTCTTGGGCGGACTGCCGAACGACACAAACGGAATCGCAGGAGAGTCTCCGCTGTGGCCCATGATGGCGTAGTCGAATTTGGTCTCGAACTCTGCAAGGCTCTCCATTAACATCAACGACGTCTCCAGCATGCGCTCCAAACGCCCGTACTCTAGACCGGTCAAGGAACCGTGCGAACGTCGATGGAGCGCGGCAAGATGCATGTGAAAAAGGATATGTCTTGAGAATTGAAGCGGTACATGCTCCCCGACAGGTCCATGACAAAGACGAGTTTCTTGGGCTGCGTTTGGATCTGGAGTGCAAATGGGTCCTTCCCGCGCTTCTTGAACACGTTGCGCTCGCCACTCAGGCCGTCCACGAGCTTCGAGTCGTCCCACTCGCCGCTCGACTGATGCTTGAGCCACCCGCGCTCGTCTGACTGCTGCTCGACGTTCTTTAGAATATGTCGCAGCTGGGACGTCTCCGCACCGACGCGATCAAAGTACTGCCATTTCAACACATCAACAACCGACCACGTGCTAGGCGTGACGAACCGTTTGGTACGTGGCAAACTCGTGGTTGGTCATGTCGATTCGTCGAAGTTGCTCCGCCAGCGCGGCGTCGGCCATGGCCTTTGCCTTTTCCCGCGCTTCTTTGGTCACTTGGTCCTTTTTCTCCTGGGAAATCTGATGGACGCGGTGGCCCTTGTCCAACCGATACGGTCCGCCTCGACCACCCAGGCCCGCCGTGTCGGAGCCACCAGTTCCGCCAGCCCACGTATTCCCACCGACCTACGACTTCCACGTGACTAAATGTACTCGTTTGGCCGACAATCCGACGTGGGGAGTGTTGTCCGGGTCTTCTTTGCCGTGCTTCGGCAGCGACGAGTCGGTCTTGGGAACAGACGTGCCGTGTGGCAGGTATTTCAACTCGAGCATGTCTCGGACACCTACGAGAGCTCGAAAAACATTCAAGGACGTTGCTCGCGCACCTTGCATCGAATGGTAGCTAAACATGGCTTTCCACGTCTCGAGATCGGCGTGAAGTGCGGCATCATCCACTTGCCACACACGAAGTTGCCCGTTTCGCTGCAAACTCAGCACGTTCTCGGTCGATGGAAGCACGGCCAAAGCGGTCACGGCCGATGCGTCGTGGGGCTTTGGGATGTGTCGAAACACCGACTTGTTCAAGTCGACAACTTCCAACAGCACGTCCGTCGCCACTACATTTGCCAACTTGTCGTTCCACCCCAGCGACTGGATCACGTTCGACTTGGCGGCCCGCGGCGACGTCAAGACGCTCTTCCGACTGCGACCGTCGGCTTGTATCACTTGCACGTATGCTTCGGGGTGGGTGAACCGATTGCTGTGCGAGTGGACAGCCTTGGAGGTCGGAATCGCCTTGCCTACGGACGAAATCTGAATCCGCTCGACGTCGGCGTCGTGAGGCGACTTGATGTGAAGCATGTGCACGTTGCCATGGGTGTCATGTACGTGCCACGTCGTGTTTGAAACCAAGTGGACGCGCTCGACATGGAAAGGCAGCGACATGGTGTGCGCTTTCATCGACGTCATCTCGATGGCTTGCACGGCATTGTGCCCCGGGATGTACCGAACAAGCAAATCGTGGTCGTCTAGCAAGCCTGACAAGACTTGGATCGACGATGTGTCTATCATCGACTGTGACGATCGCGACTCGATGCGTCGACGTACCAGACTTCCACTGAAACACCCCGTCTTGATTCGGCTTGAGACGACAAAGCGCCCTCGACTCCAACACGTTGTGCTTTGCCGACATGACCACGAGCAGATCTGCACACGACGACATTGCAAGAACGATTCTCGTTGAGGCCGTCGTACCTGCCGCAGGGACGTGCAACACCAACGAGTTGCTCCAACCCATCAAGTGGGCTTCCGACTTGCTGTAGCCATACCCTTCCAGCTCCGAGTACAAGTGCAGCCTACGGCATACGTCAGTCGGGAGATCATCGTCATTTGTCGGCGAACCTTTGGCTTGATTCTGCCCCAAAGAACGAATGCACTCCCAGTGGCTGTTTGGTCAATACTAGTACAACGATGACCTTTGTCTCGATCAGGATGGACGGCGTACCGTGGATGGATCCGTCAGGCAAGACCGCCATCGCGACGGCCGATTGTTGGGCCCACAACGGCACGTGCCAGGACGACATCTCTTCCGAGAACGTGCTCAATCGGCACGGAGTGACCGAGAACGTCCGCGACGTCGGCGGTTCGACATAAATCCGTCGCGATTTCAACGTCGACGTATCCACTCGCACGGGTTCGTGCCGCCCGCATCGCCCCAACGTCCACGTTTCCGTCACCGAGAACGTCGGAAGCGGCGAGACCGGGGCGACCGCGATGGACGGAAGCACTCGTGTGGTGGCCGACACCAGCGGAACTCCATGACTACAACGTTGTGTGTATTAATGCAACTTATGGCTACGACATCGTCACACATCGTGTCATGAACGCGTCGTACGTACCGGCCAAACACGTCGCTTAGGCGCTGGCGCAGCGACGGGTCGTATGCATCAAACGCGAGCACGTTCTCCAGCGTTTGCGATACCCCGTCCATGGGGAATGCTTCCAAGTGCTTGGCGACCGCGACCGCCTCGCGCGTCGAGTACGGGTACGCAATGGTGCCTTCCTCGACCATCCCACGCAGTTCGGAAAACGCCGCACAGAGGCGCTTGAGCACGTCTTGGGGCACACTCGGGGCATACGCTTGCAGCAGCGTGAGCTCGGACGCTGGGTCTGGGTTGTCGATGACGCTACAGCAGAATATCAACCAACATGCGGCAGAGGCAACTCGGTCGTACTGCGTCGCAAAGATGTCGCCGACTTCGCTGAAAAAGTTGTTGCCGAGAAACGGATACCCGGGACGGTTGGCCAACACCCACATGCGAAATCGAGGGTGCATCACGATGACGTTGTCGTTGGCGCTGTCCACTGGCACTTCGGTCGGGTCCACGATGCGCCGACCGTCGCCCTGCGCATCCGTCAGCATGGAACTGGGTGGTGCTCGTACCAAGAGCATTTCGCCGTCCTCAATCAGCCCCTTGAGCACACATACCACCTCGAGCGGTGCCTTGTCGGCTTCGTCCACGACCAGCGTCCGCCCAAACTTGACAGCGCGAACGAGCGGGCTGTCTTCCCACGTGATCTTTCCGCTCTCCATCGACGGCACCAGCGTCAGCGTTTGCACAGTGGTCTATCGTCTCATCAAAACGCCGAGGACAGAAAGGAACGTCTCGACGCACGTCGCGATGGAGCTGCACATATTCTCGCTCTTGGTGCATGAGCTGCAGCAGCCGGTCGACGACTTTGTTTTTCCCCACGCCTTGGTTTCCGATCAAAAGTAAATGCGGCTGACCCGATACAATATCCTAGGCTCGACACGTCATCTCTACTCGATCGAGACTACAAAAGTCGCCTTTCAAACCTGCAGCATTTGGCGCATCACGATGGCATGCTTGGGAATGGGAAAGTAGCGCGGCTGCGGGATGAGTTCGACGCGAGGGGCGTCCGATTTCACGATGTTGTACACGACATTGCCCACCGTCAGCGAGTCGGGAGTGTCGACGAATTGGATATCTACGCCGGTTCGACTCAGTGCCGCGCCAAGTGGACTCGCGCGTACCCTCGAGCTTGTCTTGTCGGGCGGCTTGCTTGATGTTGCACTTGTCGAGTAACCCTTCCATGACACTTGCGTTCGGGAGGAAGTGCATCATGGTCGTGTCTTCGACCAAGTGGCGAAGGTCGCGAGATGCCGTGCCTGGAAACGCGTCCAAGCGTCGGGCCATGCGGAGGAGTTGGCGCAGCGACAGAGACACATCGGGGTGGAGCTGCACTTCGTGCCAAAAGTCGACGAGAGTTCTACGGAGCGCGATGGCCGTGAGTTCGCCGTGCCCAGAACATGCGAGGTTGGCGTGTGTACGCGGCGATGGCTTTGGGTAGGGTGGGGCACAGGTCCGCCAGCACCTTGGTGACGTCGCGTCTTGTCAAAGTTGGGACCGCATGGAACGGAAACAACGTCAGGGTTTCGGACGTCAGCCACGGGTGCGCTGCCGTGACTTCGGCCAGCGCCACGATCCGAAACGACGGATGGACCTTCACGACCCCCCGATGTACATCCGTCACCGACGCTGCAAACTTGGTTCCGTCCACCAAATCGACCTCACGATCTTGAACGAAGCGCTGCAACGTGCTCAACGTGTCGCTACTCAGCCGATGGACTCCGTCGAGTATTGCAACGCGGCCGTGTCGCGCCGCATGGAGCTACGTCGTGGAATTGTCTAGTCGCGGCCTCTAGCCATGCTGCATGCAATTGTACCAGCGGCGACTCTTCCCACGTCGTGTTTCCATCGTTATCGGTTGCCCGTCGCTGAAACAAATCTCGCGCCGTCATGTCCTTGAACAGGGTAAAGAGCTCGGTCGAGTAGCCCAGTTTGGCGCAAAAGAGGCGGGCCAGCGCCGACTTGCCGCTTCCTTTTGGCCCGAGTACACACATGTCCGACCCGAGCGCATGATCCTACATGCCACCACCGTCCGTGACGAACGTGCGAGCAGCCATCCATGCTCCAAGACCTTGAGCATATCCAACACAACACGGTGGTGCGCGCTCGTCTCTACAAAACCAGCCACGTGCTCGTGCAACGGCAGCGCACCGGAAGCAATGGCCACTTTCCCCTTGTCCACCTGAAGCCACGTTGTCTGCGCGCCATCCGTCGTCGACCGGGTCAATACGAATGGGGCCGCCTTGGCTTGAACAGCCTTGAACGGGAAGAACGTGCGCAGGACCTTCTCGAACGTCTCGCTGTGGGCTTTCCACGACGTCAAGTGCAGCGGAAAGAGTCGCCCGAGCAGCGCGGGAACGTCCGTCGTGTTCGGGAACGTCTCGGCCATTTTGGCGCAATATTCGACCACCGACGGATTCAAGTGCGGCATTCGGTCCATCGTGCCGTCCTGGTTGTTCTCGATCACGTGCATGGCTTCCACGAGCGACACGAGTTTTTCCCCGTCTGGAATCGATGCTGCACACACATCGTTGATATCATGTCAGCCATCCATTCATGGCGAAGATGCATCTCACGTACAGCAAATCTCCAACTGCGCGCCAGGAGACAGGGGCGAGATTTGACGGGCCTGGAAGCGCGATCGAAGCGGCGGGTCCAGTGTCCGACCTGGATACGGAGGCACGGGTACGCCGAGGGCTATCACGCGGAAGGCAGGGTCGACACGCAGCAGGTTCCGAGCTTCCAGCTGAGCGGCAGTATACCCCTTTGCGAGCAACGCATCATAGCTACCGTGGGAATTATCCTTTGGATTTTTCGACTGGGTCATCAAACCTCGACGCCTGCATGAGGAACCGGCCATCGTCCAATGCCATTTCCCTGCGCCACAACGGAGTGCCACTGCGTACGGTCTACTTTTGTCGCCTTACCGGTTTTCGAGCAAGTTGTTGAGCGTAGGCAGGACATTTCGCTCGGCCTTTTCCAGACCTGTCCGCGGTCGTCATCGTTCTGGATGCGACTAGGGGGCGTACCGTCCAAGATCAATACGCGCCCGTGGATGGCAGCACGCACGGGAGCTTGATCAGCAAAGATGGCCGACCCACCGAGAATCTCGCGGCGCTACAGACCATTGGTGAGTGCGTGCGACGCAGGGCTGGCGTACTTGTTTCAAGTCGGATTCCGTTGTATCTTGCGATATCGCAACGTATTCGACCTCGCGCTGCATGATTTCGCAAAATTGAAGCGCTAAACGACGTCGCGCGGGGCCGGGAGGTCTGTGGTCTTCGGTTTACAAGTATAATAGGGCACTGTGCCCACGTACCCGATCAAAAACATGTCCTGGCCAAGGAGATCCTTCTGCAGCATCCAACGCAGATGCTCAAGCGTTTCCTACAAAGAAACGCTGTCACGACAAAGTGCTGCTCGGCGGTGTGGACGCTGTAGGGTTGACGTACTTGAGTGAAGTGCGGTTCGCCATCAGCGTTACGGTTGGCGAAGCCCTTGGGCACAAGTTGAGCCTCCTGTCATCGAAGATTAAAATCGTCGCTGCCAACACGCAGTGGCATACCTTCACCTGGCCTTGCGGCGCAGTGACACCGCCAATGCTCACATTTGAAAAGTGCTGTGCACGGCGGACGCGCCACTGACTTGGCCGCAACAAGGATTGGCGGAGCATGGCGTCGTCGTGTTGGATGTGTTCCTGTGTTGTCCCAAATGCATTCCGGATAAAGTTCCGCTTCCCGAGTACTAGTATTACTATAATGATAGTACTTCGAAGTAATACTTAAAAAAGACGTCAGACGGCATAAGAGGCCATCTCATCAGAGTGGCGATGAAAAGTTGCAGATAAACCACATGCCACGCATACATGTCAACGTGTAGCGTACAACAGCTCTGGCTGACAGTCTGGTTAAGTCGCCATGCCCATTGGTCAAGGCGGCACCGACTTTTATCGATGGACTCATTTCGAGCGGCCCTTTTTTATGGGAATTTTTTTATTGGCTGTTAATCCAGTTGATGAATTAGCCATGGGTTGAAATCACGCAAATTCCACGTTTTTACCCATAGAATAATTGCCTTTCATAGTGCGGTTTTTCCTTGATCAAGAGCTCCGTCCCTCTTCTCGTCAATGGAATATGTAAACCATATTCCCAAGGTGTATGTTGCGTCGGCAATCGTTAACGTTAGCTGATATGCCGACTGTTGGTGCATTTCTATATAAGGCAATTTTACGTGTTGTATTTTCGCACATTTCCGCGGTCTCTTCATCCGATGCGTTGGGAGGCAGTTTAAAGCGCAATAAAATCGTTTTCGTTCGGTCGAACTCCCAAGACGGGCGCGACTGGCGAGCGTCGTGGACGTAATTCGTTTAGATTACGCCTGGTGCCGCACATCCTGGGACTCGTCAAATAGGCCGCAGTCATCGACGGAAGCAACGGGTGAGTCCTTTTTGAGCTGGAGCCACCGCTGCTTTGATTCGGTGACGACAAGATGACTGGAAGTGTCATTGCCCATGCTACTGGCTGGGGGCGACGCTTGGTCCTCGACATGCAGCGTCGTGGTCTCTGCGATCGTCGTGTCGGCGAGTTTACCGCCAACTTCTTGGGCGTGGGTGCACTCGTCGTCTTCCTTCTCCTTGTCATCGTCGCTGTCGTCAACCCTCGAGAACCGCTCTGTCAGCACGCACTGTGTCTCTTCCGCCTCGTCATCGTCCACTTGAGCATCATGAACGACTTCAATTTGGTTGCCCAGTGCCGCCATGCACTCTTGCATATGACGAAAGGCTTCCCTGGCTGACGCAAACCGTGCTTTCATCACGAGCACCTCTTCCTTCGCTCCTCTGCGCGACAACCCCATCAAAAACTTGAGAAGTTTTCAATGGACGTCACTACCGATTGTGTTCCTGTTCGTGATCACTCGTCCGGTGCACCAAATCGAGCTGGTGCCCCAATTTTTGGTTGTCGATCTCCAGCTGTCGTGCCTACCCCCACCCCACCATGAGCAAAATGGTTGTGAGGTGGTGGCCATCGTACCTTTTGCGTGGCAGCCGTAGTTTTTGACAGTGCATCCTCGAGTTCGCTCTTGAGCACGTCGACAACGTTGTTCAGGCTGAGCGTCGATCGAAGGGCCGAGGCGAGTTCTTCTTGGCACTGTTTGAGCAGCTCTTTGTCCTTGAGCCAACCCAGGTCAATCTCGACGCACTTGGCTTCAGCCTGCTTGTACTTGGCTTCCAGCGCTTCGTGTTCCAGCCGCAGGTGCTCCTCCTCGACCGATTTCGCTCGAGCCTTCGTCACTTCTTCTCGCAGCTCGTCGATTTCATGCTCTCGGCGCTGCACATTCGCCAGCATTTCCTGCAGTTGCTCCTTCAGTTCTATCTCGCGGTTGCCGGCTTCGAACAGACGCTGACGCAATTCCTACAACAGTTGCATACACTTCACGCTAGATGGAATTCACGACGAACTTGGTTAGCTTTTAGCATGGACTCGGTCCCAACAACCAGTTCATCGCGCTGAGCCGATGACGACGACGCAACGCATAGCTTCTTCGCACTGCCACTCGACGATTTCGAATCTGGAGTTGGCACCGAACGCTTCCCTGCCTTCACAGGAGTTACGTTGATGGAGTGGGGTTGATTTCTATCGTAACGAGTGAGTACTACAGCAACGACGGGCGGTTGGCGCACGCAAAGTGAAATCGGAAGAACGTCGGCTCGACGTTCGGCGTGTGCAACGACGGCTTGGTGAAGTAAATCTCATCGTTGTCGAAGATCTGTCGCTCAATAGACTTGCCAACAATGTCTCCATTCACATACACGCCGTTGGAACTCATGTCCTTGAGCCACACCGTCGGGTCGTTGTTGCCAGTTCGTCGCAGTTCGATTGTGCATTGCTACCACACGAATGTGACCTCTTCAAGCATAAACCCATGCACAACACACCAACGCACTGATCCATGGCTTGGGGATGACGATATCAGCCTTGGCGCTGATGCGGCCGATGCGACACAGCGGCAAGCGAAGGTCGTACGTCCCGATCGGCCCGACCAATTGCCCCCACATTTCCTTCGCACCAAAATGCAACGCTTCAATTGGTCACCTCATATCCGGATTTGGCATGTCGTAGTGATTCTACTACTAGCTAGGGAACATATACTACTAGTACTAGTATTTGGTTTTTCGAGTATTTTTCTCAAATATTTTGTCAGTACTCCAGGTCATGAGACATTCCACTCGAAACTTACTGCAAGCGATGCACCAAGGTGCTTTGTGAGGGAAACTTCGGTTCAATTAGCTTAAGCATACCTCAATGCCCAGCGCAAACTTGTGGCCTCGCAACGACCGCCTTTTCGACAGTCATGACTGCCGCCACACAAGGACTTATGCTGGCAATTTAAAAAGTGGACAAAGTACGTTCTCGAGGTATGATAAATTAACATTAACATCAATTCATACTAATACTACTTGTAAATGTAAAGTTCTGCACATTTCGCTGATTTTCTGTTTATACTGCCAGCTGGAAGATCGCAGGGGTACTTTTTCAAGGAAGTAGGGTTATAGGTTAAGCAACAATAAAACCTCAATTTGAGGTACAAAACCTTAGGCCGTGTTCGCGGAAAAACACTGACAGTGGCGGGCGTCATCGAGGGGACTTTTACTCCTTCATGTGAAAAAAATATGCTATGATAGACTTGGAATACGTCAATCGAATCTGCATCGCGCGCTGGTTCGAACCGTGCAATCAAATGATCCTGAAACACAATACCTTGCAAAATATTCTACTCCAAAGTTGTGAATGAATGACGAACGTGC